ATTGAGTGCGGTGGAAACACACACGTGTGAATATGCTCCACTCAGTACATGTGCTGTCTATTAAGGCTGAGAGAGCGCTCACATGCGATGGGAGGGGACTTTCAATCGGGAGACCGGTGTTTGCGTCAGCGTTGTTGCGTGGCATTAAAGTTGCATTAGTGACGATTGTAACACGTTTTTCTCAGCAGATTTCCGTCAAAACGCGGCTTTCTCGACTTACAGAATAAACTTTTTAAATTGTAGGCGCAAGTCAAACAGTTTGTCTCTCATCGCAGACACATGGTTTGCTTTGACATCATACAAAAGAAACATTTATTTTGCTTTCAATATTCAGATTACAAGTTTTCCCACTTGAACACTTTATTCCTGTTCATCTCTGACATTTCATCTCTATTAATTGCCTCGGTGTGTCTTTATAGAGTTTAGGCATATACAGTATCACTCTACTTCAACTTATTTCATTTGTTCCCTATTTGTCAAAGTAATTCAGCCCGTGAATGTTAAGATGTAAGCATAGCGTTTATTGCATTTTAGCTTAATGAGAATAAATTTGTGTTTTCAGTCAAGAGATTAAGAATAAGCCATCTTTTCATTATCAATATCCCGCCACACAGTTCCTTAAGAAGCACACAGTAAGTCTGTATACAGACTTCACATTTTATAATTCTATCAATTTTATCTGGTGTATGTCATAGATTAAGTTATACTTAATGATATCACATGTCTCAGGCAACTTTATGAACCACTTTCAGCATTAGTTCCACTGCACTGAAGGTAAGGAGGATGTATTACACAATATTACATACAGACAGGAAATGAAAATAACCCGCTCAGGACAATTTGTTTATCTACTACAGCATTATGCTTCCTGAAACCTAATTATATGTTGGCACAATACCTGATTGTTACTTAACTAACAGCCTACTTAACTAGCGTCGCCCGTTAAAATCTGGAATATGTTCAACAGCAGCAGGAACACCAGCAATCAATTTAAACTATTAGAAATCAAACCTCACACAGATGATGTTCTGCGTGACCTTCAAGAGGCTTGAAATGTCCCTCAAGCACCAAAATGTATTCCGCGTTATTATGTGTGTATCGGCAGGCTGTCTGGCACCACATCGGAGTCTTGCAAATGTAATTTTTGTACAATGGGTGTAATTACAATATATATATAAATGCATATATATAAATATATATATAGAAATGGTATACCGCCTCCAATATTCTGTTGTGTTGGTAACAACTAGGCCTAACTCCAATGTGTTAAATAATTTGATGGAGGAAGAGGTGGCGGTGGTGGAGGGATCATATTTAGTGTCTTTAACTGTTTTGGGGTTTCTCTCCCTGTCAAAATGAGCCTGCACACTATTCTATAATTCCTTCTTATCGGCCAGAGGCTTTAGTTATTTACTTTAAAATGGACTAATTTCTTATTCCAGCGGAGGGGGGACAGGCCGCTGACTCGAACAGCTGCTTCATGACCCAAAAAACTGTCAGTCTTTCCCTGGAATAAATTGTGGAATGTTCCATTTGGCGGCGCGGGGGTGACGGGGCCCGGGAGGTACCACGGAGCAGCCTCAAAGCGAGCCGTTTTTCACCCGCGGCGAAATAAACACGCTGGCGGATGTTGTTTCTGGCTACCTAATTCCACTCGCGTGACATTCGGTGAGGTTTGGAGCCGCGCCGGACGCGCCGCTTGGCCTCGCCCGCCCCCGCCTCGTGAGAGCGCGCCTTCGTGTGGGCCCATAGTAGAATCAATTCACGGAGAGGGCAGCTTGAAACCGGCCGCTCGTGCCCGCGCGCCTAGTTTGGAGAGAGTGGCGTGTCGGGCGGCTTGGAGTTTAATAGTCCGGATAGCATCCGCGCTGTATGTACATGTCTGTCTCTCCCCGTGTGTACGTGCGCGGCTGGAGACAGAAACAAGGAGGACGGAGAGGAGAAAAAATAAAAAGTGAGCTCGGAATTTTGATTTGACGAGTTTTTTTTTTTTTTTTTAAGATTCGACTCATTGTTTTAGGCGCAGCGCAGGTTTGTGGCAGATGTGGTGAAAAGTTATAAGTGCTCCATCCAGATCCGCTATGGTGGATGTGTCCCTCCCCATCGCTTTCTCTCTCTGAGCCTGTGTGAAGCACAAAAAGCCCCCCAACCCCCCCAATAAAAAACAACTCACCAAACTTTTCACCGTGCAAAGCAGATCTGATACAGAAGCCCATATATTTTGACACACACACACACACACACACACACACACACACACACACACACACACACACACACAATGACTCAGATGTTGACAGGTTTCGTGCACAGCCACCACCGTTATTTGTTCACTGCTCACAAAGTAACACGCGTGCATCCCAGATTTAATTAGGCAGATCTGTCTAATTAGGGGATCTAACCCTCGACCCATGTTTTAATACAAACAGTTTTACAATTCTCGTCTGCGGGTCACTTTCCTGCACGTGGACCTACAGTCCAACGTTACACGTTCGTGTTGTTGTGAGTGTGTACTCGCTCAGATGAATTATTCACAAATACACACTACGATCGGCTGCCCAATCAATCCCACGGAGGAACTCTCCTTCTCTCTCATTACCCCCGTGCATTACGCACGCACGGGCTTCTGTGTGCGTTTGCCTCCTTTTATAAATATATATATGTAAATATATGTATGTGTGTGCGTCAGCGGTGGCGGCTTGTTTAATGCACTGCAGGTTGGCTCCTGCAGCAGGTCTGACCAGATAAGAGCAGCCCGGAGAGAGAGAGAGAGAACATTGCCTCTTCACTCACATAAACCATTAAATTGTAATAATAGGGCCACCAGTGCTCAAACCTGGATCCATAGCGCCCCCTGTGGGTGATTGGTGGAGACACACTTCAAATGGTAGGAGGGTCTTGGGGGGGGGTCCTCCCGCTGAGTTCCTGTACTTGGTTGAGATGCAACATCTATTTTGCTTCTGCAGATGAAGAGGAGTGAGGGAAAGGATGGATTTTAAGGAGATAGAAAGAGGAAAAAGACCCCCCCCCCCCCTACGTCTGACGCCCTTTGCTCTGACCCCACCCGGCCTTCATTTCGATCACAACTAAACACCTGGAAAGTTTCCTGACTGCATCTTGCACAGTATAAACTCCTGGAAAGGTCCTTGGTGGCGGCTGCTGCTGTGGTTGTTTCCAGGAGCAGGTGAGGCCACAAGGTCACAACAATACCTGAATTCCTGATTCCTGAACAATACCAGCATTGTTGTCACGTCACGGAATAACTGAGAGCTTCTGCTTTGGAAATGTCCTCCGGAAAAAAAAAATTGTATTACTGAAATTGTTGAAAGAGTAAGAGGGGAGGGGGGGGGGTGTTGTAGAGAGGACGTGAACTCATGACCTCAGTATTGATGGCTTAAATGAGGGGTAAGGAATCCTTCCGGCAAGTGGAGGTCCATTGGGTCCATTGGTGTCACTTGATGCTGGTCCACAAACTGTGATTAAAGTGATGTGCTGAGATTTTTATTTATCTTTCCCTTTGTCAGAAAACAGTGACAGAGAAAGCGAGACAACAGGGTCCTATTTGCATTTAATGAGTCAACATGTCGGTGTGAAAAGTACAATCCGTTCCCTTTGTTTTCCTCCTCCGCCGCGTCCACACACTGTTAATGGATCTATGTTTAGCCAGATCGGTTAGAGAACACACACACACACACACACACACACACACACACACACACACACACAATGGATCATCAATGGGAGCCCTGCTGCTGCCAAACTCATCCACACAGCGAAGGGCGCGGTCAAGTTGCTGAAGTGGCACTACAGTGCTCCATTTTTCTCTCTTTACCTAAAGTGTCTGAACGCACAAAACCTGAGCTGCGATCCGGCGCGTGCACGTCGATGAGGAGGTCAAAAACACAAACCACGCGCCCTCCGCATCCAAACGGCGGGTCATTGAGCTGAATGAGCGTATTAAAACGTCTCAGGGTGATCAGTGTCAATGTCCTTCCTCAAAACCTGATGGTCCAGAGATCACAAGTCCTCTGATCGTCCTCACCTGTGGACTCACCGCGTCTCACCTGCTAGCAGACGCGTCAGATGGCGCTGGAACGTCACACCCGCTCGCACAGAAGCGTCTTTTCTTTTGATGATGACGTCACAGCTAACAACGAGGAGGCGTCTTGTGACGTTCCCTTCAGTGTGTCATGGGATGCTAATTGGACACAAGCGCCAACTCTGCGAATGCTTTAAATGTAAAAGCGTCACCGGGTGTTTATTGCCTCCTGCAGGTAGAGGGTGCTTGGTTCGTTCCAGCAGACGTCCCGGCTGCACAGATTGATTTAAACCGAAGCTGCAGCAGCAGAGACTCTCATCTCTTATGTTTTTACGACCATTTTTCATCGATTCACACATACGTGTAATGCATTTTGTGGAATAAATATCACTCAGCCTTCTGTGTAAATAGTTCTGGATCGAGAAGATGATAAATGAAACAACATGAACAGCAAACAAAGGACTTTTTGTGTTAATGTTATTTATGTAATAATAATTGTCTGATGTGCAATTATTAAATGTATCATCTTAGTTCAGGTGAACCCAAAACAAGGTATTTTTGAGAAAGACTGAAGCTATGCTGCCACCACGTGGTCATCAATATGTATTACACGTCCCGGATTTAATTGTTAGAGTGCTGGAGAAACATTTTGTTTGTGAGCCAATTAAAAAAACATTTAAAAAAATCATAATAGCTAAAAAGAAGAGTGGGATCTTTAAAAAAGAGATGGTTTTGGGTATCCACATGTTGTGGTGTGTAAGGACGAGACTGGCCTGCAATAAAGCCTGATCACAACTGCACCTTTTTATCATCACAAGATAACTTGCGAGAGCCAGTTTTATCTCTTAGAACGGAAAAGTTTCACTTAAATACAATCTGGCTAGAGTGCGTAATGTTGACCATCTATTTGGGATTATTCTTTGTTTTTAATGTAGAAGAAAAAGAAACACGTACCACTGAGTTATTTACAATGAAAACACTTTATTGTCATCGTGTTGTAAGTATCATTTGATTGAAAATGAGCAGACCAGTAAAAAGGAAACAATACAGTTTGAAATTCATATCATACCCCTTGTGACACCTTTGGTTTTAACCTGCGCAGATTCTTCATTCTATTGAATGGCTTTTTAACCAAGAGTCCTTCCCGTAAATCACGAGGTAATCAGCGACCGCTATTACGCTTTCTATTCAGTGTGTACAGTAAATAGTAACACAATAAAAATCACACAAGTCTACAGTAGAAGCCTGCCATACTGGCTTGGCGGTTAAGCTAAACTATCGAAGCGTCACTTGCATGCACGGTTTATTGTCTACATTTATTGCCTGGATGATAAGAGAGCGTTACAGGACATCAAAAGCACTGAGAGGAAAAACAAAAAAATCTTCTCTAAGAACGCAACTCTGTTCAAAAACAGCAGTCTGTGTTGAAAGCTTTGCATTACACATTGTTATAGAGCTTATCCTTCAGTGTGTGTGTGTGTGTGCGTGTGCGCTCCTAGGAAAACATACAAAATAGGCAGCTATTAGAAAGCACACATAACAGCTAAGAACTCTCAAGGTGATATAAGAGCGATAATAATAATAATAATAATAACAATAATAATACAGCGACGGGTGCAATCTTGATGCGTCTCTTTCGAATCTGTGTTGCAACGTATTTAACATACAGATCGATTACATTTGTTTGAATTAACCGCACATGGCATTTCAATAACAGTATTTAAACGATAACCCACGTCGATGACTTTGAATAAATAGAGCAGAAAATAAGTTAGTTGTTTATTTTGCCGTTTCTCAGCGTCCAGTTTTCAATCCACTCACCTGAGATCTTATTTTACGACGTGAAAAGGAGAAAACATAGTTTTCAATTCTTACTAATTCCCTACAGCTCTCTCTCTCTGTCTCTCGGAGCTGTCAAAGTACCGAGCCCACCTTCCTTTACTCTCTCTGTTTGACATTTTCGACAACCCACCAATTATTCCGAACTCTCCGTGAGAACGAAGCAAAATTAAATCTAGAATGCCCCCCCCCCGTAGCGTCTGTCTTCTTTGGGCCACGCTAGACAGGTAAGATGATCGGAAAGCTCTCAGCTGTAATCCGTCCTCTCCGTCCGGCGTGAGACAAGAGCACTGATCTATCAGTGGACGGGCTGATCGTGAGGGACACGGGTTGGACGGGCCTGAAGAAATCTGGGCTGTACAAGGAAATTAAACGCAATCAGAGGAACAAGACGAGATGTTTGAGACATGACGGCACCGTGCTCTTAGAAATGGGTTTAAAAAAAATTCTGGTGACTGGTTTTGAGTCCTGCGTTTGTTTTTACACCTTTGCACCGACGGGCAGCGGATTTCAGACGGGGGTCATCCTGGGGGGAGGGGTGGGGAGGGAAGGGGGGAGGAGAAGACAGCAGCTCTGGAAGTGTCCCCCTTCTAAACGCAGGTCTTGTTGAGGTCAACTTTCACCGGCAGAGGCCCCGCCTCCTCGCTCTCTTCCGGTTGCTTGATGGACACGGCGATCGCGGGGCTCAGGGGGTACGGGTTCACCTTGTGGACGTTATCCAGGAACTCTTTGTCCCCGTTGATGCTCAGCTGCAGAGAGACAAAGAGACAACCGTGGTTCCCCCGCGACGCTTCACCCACCACGTCGAGGTGAACTTAAAGAGGCCGTGTGCTCCTTTTCAAGTGGGTACTTAACGTCCAACGACAGGATGCTGTCGCACTATGTCTATTCCACACTTATACCTTGGTGCACCGTTAGAAACGCCGTTCTCAATGAGGCTGCAGGGGAACCGGATTGGGGAGCCGCAGCTGAGCAGCTTGTCAATCCCAAAAAACTGACTGGGTTTTTTTCATTCCCAGTTTGAGGGTTTGGGAAAACCTCTAAGAACTGAGGAGGGTTTCGCTTCCTTTCACCTGTGCATGTTTATGCGTTGGTGGGGGTGGGGGGTGCATGTGCGTACCTGCGTCTTGACGTGCTGCTCGGGTGCGGTGACGAGGCTGGCACAGCTGAGCCACAACATGACCATGATGGACAGGAAGAGACACGCCGCTAAAATCCACCGCGGGAGTCCCGAGCGTCTGCAGAGCGAAAGTTACGGGATGAAGCTGCAGAAACACTGAGAAACTTCCTCCAAATCTTTTCTCCGTGCACACACACACACACACACAGGTGTCAGTTACAGGTGAGAGAATATTCAACCAGATGTGTGTGATAGATCAGCTATGTAGTACAAGTCTCTCACAGACACAAACACGAGTCATTGATTCGTCACCTCGACATGCAGCCGAGGAAGTCGTGCTCGGCCGTGGGGTCGTCGGGGTGCTGGACGGGCCGCCTCCCTTTGGCCCCCGCTTTGGAGGCTCCCCTCTCGCCGTGTCCCCTCACACCTGCCGAGCGGTTCACGATGAAAAAGGGATCGCAGTGACTACTGCAGCAATGCGCTGCCACCTCGGGCGGCGCGCGAGGGCGTCGTGCACGTGTTCTCACCGTGGGGTCTCTGGGTGTGGGAGTGGACCTGAGGCCAGGGTTTGTCCGCCACGTTGGATCGAGGAGCCTGCAGCTCGGGCAGGGAGTACTCCATCTCTGGTTGGCTCTGAGGGGGAACGGAGCGACATCATGGGCCCCTTTTTGGATCCAGCGGTTTCTCCTTGTTTTTGGCACTTATGCTAAGCTAGGCTAAAATGTAGCCTTCAGCTACAAATGGGGTGAAACCCCAAAAGGGCCGAGCTTGAAATTATGATTACTATCAAATTGTAATTTATGTGATCGATTACATCTAACACCTAGTTAATCTTCTTACGTTACAAGAAGATCAATATTAAACCTTTGTTTAAAAAAAAAGCTTTTCACCATCTGAATTTACTGTGAAGAGAAAAGAAATGTCTCCCAAATCAATCCAAGCAAGATTATGAGCATTCCATGTGTTTGCATGCTTTCTATCTGTTTGAGGGTCTCTCGCAGCGTCTTTCTCACCCACCCAAACCAGTTTAGTCCCCCCTCCCCCGAGCTGGGACAGCTTTTGAACAGCGACGGTGTCGGTTTTAGCGCCGCTTTGGTTTTCGTTTTGCTGCCAGCGTTTCTGGACTCAGAACTCATTAACAGAGGATTTTTGGATTCCCTTCTGTTGACCCTCACTGCGCTTGGAACAGCACACAAAACTGGCATTTAAAGCAGCAATGCACTGCGTTAGTGCCCGACCTCCCTGTGTTTATCGATTCTGAAACCTCCTGCTGTGATGTAACAGTACGAGGCGAAACCAGCAACTCAGTTTCTTTCATTCTCATTACTTCACTTCGCAGATGATCTTCTTTCCATTGAACAACTTTACGACCTGCAGTCGGCCCGTGGAGGCTCGGCTGGTCAGTTTGCCTCCCAAAACGCCTAAACGACACTTCAAACCTCTTCTGGTGTAAAAGGTATTTCACAAGTGGGTTTATTACCCACAGCGAGCGCCGTTTTCTGAAAAGGACGTATTGAAACCAGATGCAGCGGCAGCGTGAGGGTTTCGGGGAGACTTGAGGGGGCCGATCTCATTGGCCGCAGACTGAAGAACTTTAAACATCAGAATGAGCGCAGCCTGATCTGCATCTGTCACGCATTAGGAGAGGGGGACGGGGGGACGGGGGGGGGTGGGGGGGGGCATAAAGGTGCTCTGGAATAAAGGGGTTTGAGAGTTCAGAGACGTGATGGATACAATTAGACTGAATCTCAACTTCCTCGCTGAATTTGGGAGAGGACGCAATCGGTTTTTTGAAGCTCCCACCAATGAATTGACACGTATAATGTGAAAGAACTTTTGAGTCTCGTTCACAATGAGCAACACGGCTGCCTTTGTGCATCCACAAAGACTCACTGGGGAAACGCTTACCAAAGGTATCTGAGGTCCGTCCGGCTGTTCATCGAGTCAGTACATTACTCACCTGACAGCTCGGGGAAATATTTGGAGGGAATTTCAACTTCAAATTGGTCTATTTTTCAAAATTATAGCCTTTAAACATTTTCATGTTTGGTGGTCTGCTAGAACATTATTAAATGCTTTAATGGTCTAAAAAGCACATTCATTTTCTCACCCAACGTGAAACACGCGTCTGTCTCTGAAATCCCTGAAAACCACAAACCGTGGGTGGAGATACTCAGATGGGTGCCGGTGTATTTTAATGACCCTGCATGTGAGAGGGATGGGGAGGGGGGGGGGCAAACACCATTAGAATGTTAAATCAAATATTTTCCGAGCTGCAGCCCACAAAAAAACAACTCCCCCTACCGTGCAGGTTTCTGACCAGTTTTTTGAGGACATGGTTGGATATTCGGACCAACTTTTATTACAAAAAAATGACTCGGTGGTCTTGATTCACAGTTTATGGGTTTGGAGGCACTAAAGATAATAAAATGTGCACAAGCACTAAAAAAAAAGGTGTGTTTATCATGATACGTCCCCCTTAATTTAGAGGCTTTAGATCTAAACTGTATTAAAGCACCCCTTGTACTTATTAAGACCATTGTTTTTCATTTTAGTGGGTGAGTTAAGTCCCTCAGCACGAGTACTTACTTAAGATTAGAAGACAAGTCGGGGCATACTTTATCTTTTTGTCCAAACATCTCATGAAAATACCAAAGCCCACAATATATCAATCCCACTAATAAGTATCAACCCCTGATTGAGCTTCTTCCTCCATTGTTGTCCAAACCACATGACTCCTTCCTTCACAAAGACACACACGTAACAAATGTGTATTCATCCACTTCAGACAGTATTCCCCCCAAAACCTCTGTTTTCTCCTGTTTGATTGACGCTACAAACTACAATGCCAAGCTGTATAAGAAAATGAGCCTTTGTGTAAAAACGAGGGGAAGAAAATGACTGACACGATTGGAAAAGTTCTTTTCAGTAGAAACTCATTTGTGCTGAGAGCAATAGACACGCTAGATAAAACATAATAATAAATAAGAGCATGATACCATAAATCATGGGAATGATTCTCATACTGTTTCTAAGTCTCCTGTGTCTGAATGATTTAAAAGAACACTGACTTCCTTTTTTAATGCAGCGCCATAACTCAAAGCCGCTCCTCCTTCAAACACAGTTATTTCACTGGATCGCTCCCTTCTGTTCGTGCTTTTAAAAAAAAATGTCATTCATTTGTGCAGGATGACTAATGACATTTCCAAGAAGCAATGGGGACTCCTCTCTTTGTGCTCGGCTCGCTCACAGTAGGAGGAAGTCTTTAGGCGACTGTCTTTTGTCCCGAACAATCTGTCAACCCCGGGATGATGGGCCGATTTGTTGAAATAACAAGAGGTAAAAAGGGCTGTTTCTGTATTCCTTTGCCTCCCATAGGGATGCCCTAAAAGTGACCCCCCCCCTACCCCTCCATGCAATCTGAACCAACGCCTGCCGCTAATGTTTGTCTATGATGCGTGCGACCAGTTATTCTCCAAACCTGAGGTCACACAAACGAGCACACGGTTGGATGAATGAAGAGAGTCAGCTCCCCCTCCCTCCCTTCCTCCCTGCTGTCACTCAATTTAACTGGACCTTTTCTGTTGTTTCATCCCTCGGAAAGTCGATCTGTCATCTCGCCGGCGGTCTGGCAGCTGCCCACTAAACGCCGGCCTGGTATTCTTCACATAACCCCCAGTGGAGGCGGGCTTCCCCTCGCCGCCCCGGCCTGTCCGTCACTTCCACAGAGAGCCAACATCCATCTTCCGAACAACGTGTCTGGAAGAAATGTCCGTGATTTCCTCTCCTGTGGCTGCTGCCCCCCCCCCTCTCCATGAGGAGACAGTGAATCTGAGCCTACAAAGGACTTTTATACAGTAGCTCATCCGAGTTGGTTACAGTCCACAAATGCTGTCATTTCCCATTGAGCCCTTTAACTATGTGACTAAAACCCCCCCCGACAGGGCGTGCAGGTTTCTGACCAGTTTTTTGAGGACATGGTTGGATATTCTGCTGGTTGGACGGACTGACTTTTATTACAGCTTGGATGGTGTGGTGTTTAGCGCTGTCGCCTCACTGCAGGAACGTCCTGGGTTGGAAACCCCCCCAGCGGCCCCTCTGCGGGGAGCCTGCATGTTCTCCCTGCGGGTCTGCGTGGGTTCTCCTGTCGGCCCCCGTTCACTTTATCTCCTTCGAAATTCCAGAAACAACCCTGGAATATTTATCTGCCACAAGCAGAACTTTTTAGCGGCCCGCTCTCTTCTAAATCAGGAGGGAGGGGAGGGGGGGGGGGGTTCCGTCCTGAGGCGAGCTCACACACAGCTCCGCCGGTTATCAAACATGCATGGGGCGGGGGGGGCGAAGTGACATAATACGAAAGGACATTTATAAACAATTAAAGCGCTGAAAAAAATGTTTGTGGCTCTCTGCAGTCGGCCTCCTTGCACCCCCCCCCCCCACCCCCCCCGTGTGTGGCCCTGGTTAAACCAACCTTAAAAAATCGGCTACTCTCCAAAAGGGGCGGGAATCTTTCTTTGTTCTGCGGGGGCCCTACCCTCAAAAAATTATTCTCCCATTATTAAAAAGAAAGAGGGGTAAGCCTCACCACAATGCGAGAAAAGGGGCCCAGGCCGCTGTTTTACCTGCCGCTTAAAAGAGGCGACGTGAGAAAGCTTCGTAGATGTTAATCTTGTCATTTGTCATCATCGTGACTCAGTGAGCCGTAACAAAGTGTGTGAGCATATACTTGATTTATGGGGATTTCAGAATAAATGTGTCTGTGCCTTTTGCAGCGATGCACTTAAAGATCCAACTCTGTTGAAGGTGCAGATGTTCAGAATGACGAGGGTAAAGTTTGCTTCAGTTAAGAAATGTTAAATATTTTAGACAGCTCTTAATTTATCTTTGAGTCATGCAACATAACCAAAGACTATATAAAACCCAGATATTCAGAGTGTAAACTGGTGAATTGTGTTACTCTTTGTTCACATACGCTGATGAGAAAACAGGACTTGGCTGCAAATATCATACGTCAGCCTATTTTCTGAATTCTTTTTGCAAAAAAAGATTAGATTTGTGGGGCGGGGGGGTTGCTTTTTTAATTCAGCCACAGGAAGCATTGCTGCTCACTGCAAAAACATGGTTTGTATTCCAATAATTGTCAATAAAGTGGAGTTTCCAGACACAAAACCGCATTATGTGCTTTTAGGTGCCGGGTTTCGAATAAAAACTCACACATCACATTATAAAAAAAGGTCAATAGAGTGCAGAAAATGTGCGTCGACATCACTCATTATCACCATTTTGCAGAAAAACACCTCATATTTATCGATATACTCGGCGTGGTTAAGATAAATGCCTTTGATCTGCCTGTGCTGGACAAACACCTGGCCGGGTCTTACCTGAAAAACCACCACCTTGCCATCATCAGCCTGCAGGTAGAAGGTCCAGGTGGAGGAGATGAAGCTCTGGGCGGAGCTGACGATGTCGTTGCACCAACTGGACACAGCCTCCATCACAGAGGGGGGCTTAGGGCGCAGAGTCATGGCCCTGAGCTGCGGAGGAGAGAGCAACACACTCTAAACACAAGGAGATGTATTTGTGTGTGTGTGTGTGTGTGTGTGTGTGTGTGCGCACACTTTGTATTGATATCGACATTCAGACATCCTAAGTCTCTTTGGCTCTTATAGCAGCATTCGCATGTTTCTCACCCTCCTCCTCTTGAGCTCAGGTTCAGATGGTTGGCTGGCACAGCCGGTGCAGCAGGCCTCCTGCTCCAGCAGCTTAATGTACGCCTCCTGGCAGGCTGCAGAGAGAGGGAGAGGGAGAGAGTTGAGAAGCATGCAAGCAAAGAAAGATGAAGAGGTGGTCCAGAGCGCAAAAAAAAATAAAAAGAGACAGAAAGAAGCACAAAAGCGAGTGGCCACAGGGAGCACTGCAGTCGGCTGGGTGGAAGATGAGAAGAAATAAAAACAGGTACCGGCTGTTCATGTGGGAAGAAAGATAAAGATGCGAGGGAGATGTACCTGTCGGCACCGAAAGCACTCACTCCTCCAAGGTTTGTAACACTCAATTCAAGCAGAAGTAGTGTGGACACACCGATAATATCAAATGTTGGCTCTGCATTGACTGAAATAAGACGGATTCCAGTCACTTCCACTCCGTGAGGCACTGGCACAAGATATACAAATGAGGATCGCGGCTTGAAGTCCAGCCTTCGGCCTGCTTAGTCCAACAGACAGACGGACACACTGACTCACCTCCCTGGCACTCCTCTCTGGTGGTATTGAAGCCGGCGTTGCCATTGACAAACTGGCAGATGGAGTAGAGGCGACAGCCGCGGTGACAGGCGTTCATTATGGAGTCCTACCAGCCAGACGGAGGGAAGAGAAGGGGGATGTAAATTAGAATCAGAGACGTGCTCTCTCTCTGACGTACTCTTGGATAAACTCAGGTCACATGATGTGATGACGGGTTATGGCATCTCCAGATGACCCGGCGCAGGTGTTGATCAGCAGTTGATGAAGGTAAGTCAGAACGGATGATGCACGTTGATCTACTTCTCCTGGTCATCATGCATTCGTTCTCAGCATTTTCCCCGTGAAACAGCGCCCACTGGTGGCCTCTTTGGGAACAATAAGATTGACCAACCGAGGACCTTTTTTTTCCTTCTTTTGCAGCCCTGAGCTTGATATCATCACCACTGCGTGTCCCTGTTTATTATCCGACAGGGTGTATATCTCGGACCATGAAAGACGGATTATTTCACGTTTCTGTGGTTACTGCACAATTCCGTTTTACTGCTACACATACATGCTCGAGTGGCTCGTATTGAATCAGAGAACCGCTCTGCAGCTCTGCTCCATGCTGCCCTGCAGGATGCTTGAACCACACCTGGAGGCAGCAGAGAAGAAAAGGAGGAGGGCGGGGGCGGGGGGGTGGGGGTGGAGGAAAAACATCCGACCCTGGAAATATGAGGCTGTAAATCACCGAAACTATCATAACCCGCACTGCGAGGATCCAGTCCGGCGTCGGCTAAGCGGAAAAAGGCGGTGGAATTGGTCGATAAAGGACTATTGTTTCATGGTCCACACTGAGCCTCCACAGCCCCGCGTGGCCCTCTGTGAATTGCGGATTGCGGAACGATCAATGTTTGTCGCAATTTAATGCAAGAGCATCTCGAGAGGCGGCCGACTGCATGCAGTCCACTTCTTGGACGAGTCTGGAAGGGGCAGAACAAAAATTAGCTGCATCCATCTTTCGGCCTAATTGTGCGCGGAAGCATCCGAGAGGGTGCAGCGGAAAATCGGAGCGAGCACGTCATTACGCACGGACACAAACGCTCTCTCTTCATATATATCCAGTATGAATAGTTGTGTTGTTGTTGTCGATGCTAAACACGCTGTGTCCGTTTGCGGTGCAGGCGCAGAAATGTCGGACAGCGGGAGGTTTCGGCCCGTCGCTGACAATGCGCTCTCTCTCTCTCTCTCTTTGCGGACACCGCCTGCGTGCGCTCTGTGCGACACACGGGGGACGACTTACTTTAGCGGGGCTCTTGTTTTTGATGCTCAGCTGGCATTGCCTCTTGCAGTAATTGATGTCGCCCAGTTGGTTGTCGAACAGGTCCGAAGACGCCGCCGCGAGTCCGGCGAGAAGCACCGAGGCGAGGGCCGAGAAGGCGCACATCCTGCCGCCGAGCCGCAGCATCTGGAAGCCGGGAGAGGAGGAAGCGGAGAGTCAGTGGAGCTCCGAGCGGCACCGGGCTCCCTTTGTGGCGGCGCTGCTGCTGCTGCTGCTTCAGCCCGGGTCCTGTCTGCTGCTGCGCTCCTGCTCGTGGCGTCACACGCATCATCATCATCATCATCATCACCATCACCACCACGCACAAGCTGCCCCCCTCCCTCCCCACAAACACACAACCTGCAGAGCTGCCTTCACTGCAGTGCACAATGTGGTCGGGTTGATATTCATAAAAAAAAGAGACCAAGCTGCGGGTGGCAGATGCTGTGCAGATTGGACAGATGGACCGTTTGTTGAAGTATTGATAGTTCATAAATAATCAATGTTGAAGGTCTAAGATGCTGCTGCAACACAAACGGATGACGGTTACACATCAGAGTGTTAACAGCTGATTTCATGTCATTTCATCTGCGGTTTGTTAATATGTGCTCAGTAACTTTTCTTTTGAGATTCAATAATGGAACAAATGCTACGTGAAAAAAACAGGCTACAGCACTTTGAAATACTCAGTTACAAGAATCCAATTTTTTTCCAATCCAGAAAAGTAAAAAAATGTATTTTACAAACAGTGGATGTTGAACAAATATCAATATATATATATATATATATTTAAATATCCATGTATATATATTTAAATATCTATATATATATTAGTTTGGAAAATACATTTAACATTATATATATATATTTCAGAAATATTAGTGTTTAGATATATTAGTGTTATGGGAGCAGTAGCTGTTTTAATTATTATATTCACATACCGGAAGTTCTATTTTATTGAGCACAACCTCACCTGAAGCTGTCTATCAATGAAACACAATATAAGCAATACAGGAGACCTACATGGTCTGTATATGCACATATAGGCACCACAATTTAGCCTTTATGCGGCATATATGCAGCATATAAACTGCATATAGGTTTCATAGATGCGCATATAAGCCACATATAGGTCGCCTATATGTGGCTTATATGCGCATATATGCAGTATATATGTACATATATACAGCATATAAGTTTCCTATATGTGCATATATCCACATATAGGTTCTTTCCTGTGGGTAGACATGACACTTGTACTAAAGTACAGTATTTATGGCTAACAACGTTTATAGTTTACTATTCTCTCAGTACGTACATAATATGTATACAGAATATAATGTAATATACAATATATTATTAGCATAATAAATATACAGGGTATAGTGTAACATATACTATATTGTTAGTATTTACAGCTAAAGACATGTATAGCATTGAGAAACAAAGTAAATGGTTAAAATGGTGGGAGGATGAATGTGAATGTAGAGAAAGGAAACAAATGGCTAAAGAATTGACATGCGCAAAAGAATTGAAATAAATGACCGATGTGCTTCTTCTCCCTTGTATCCGAGTCTCACAGGGGCTGGGGGCCCTCTCCTCAACACATGTCCACCGCCGTACCCTGCTTCACCTGCTTCACCTGCGAACCAGCAACCTTCGTCTGCATGGTCACAAGCTCCAAAAGTTCACTACACCCGGCAGAGGGAGGAAAAGGAAGCGGCAGTGAAAGCAGCACAGGAACGACTCCTCAGCGAAGAGGAGGAAAAGAGACAGGCTGCTTTCCTCACTCGATCTCGCTCTCCAGGAGCAACCGGAGGGGACACTTCTGCCATCAACAAACTGATCACAGAGCAACCATCAGATGTTGTTCCCCCGGATGCAAAATCTGTGCTCCAAACCTCAATGATTCAAGTCCCAGGACACTCAGGTCCCATACTTGTTTTCCGGCCTTGGACTGATACGGAGATTAGAGCTGCAATGGCTCATCTCCCGCCGATACAGCACTCGGGAAGACTGTTTGCTGAAGCATTCATGGACTTCTGTAAGCAATTCCTGCCAAACTTTGCTGAAATTCGACGTGTTCTAATGAGTCACGTGGGTCCAACTCACTACCAAAAGCTCAACCAGCTGACGTTGAATGGAGTTCAAATCAAAATAAGCCGTACAGAGACGCACTCACGGCTTTGAGCGACGGCATAAAGACATTGTTCCCTGACAAAGTGGATATGACTCCCATCAACAATACCAAGCAGGCAGCGGGTGAGTCCGTCCATGATTACTACCAAAGACTTCTCACAGTGTTTAATCTTAACAGTGGCATTCCACAACCCGCCGCGTTAGGAGACGCTCTGGGGACGTGGGAATCACACCTGAAGAATGCTTTCATGAATGGACTATTGCCCGACATAAAAATGAATGTGCAGCGTTCTGTTGCTGGAATGGAAGACTCGCGACTCGCGGATGTAAAGAAACATGCTGCGCATGCGCAATCCATGGACATAGAGAGAACTGACCACGAGGGGAAAGGGCGGTCACGTCAGATTGAACTCGCCCAACTGACAATGCTCCAAGCTGTCACTCAACTTGCCAGAAACGACCGCCCACGGGATCCCAACCAACGGGGCGGATTCAGGGGGCGTGGTCGGGGCATGACGAGGGGACGCTCCTCCTGGAACCAGGAGGGATCACAGCTGTATCCACCCAATGACAATGATACGTGTTTCCGCTGTGGCGAACAAGGACATTGGCACAGAGAATGTCCACAAAATGCACCTCGTAGAGGATGGGGGCGTGGACTGGCCGGACGAGGAAGGGGTGGCAACGCACATTCCGATTGACGTGAGGCGGAGGGGGAGACGGCAACCATGCTGAGGCCTCACAGGATAAGGGAAGTAAAACACACACACACCGCAGCCTGCAATGAAGAAACGCTTTCTGCACTAACTCCCTGCACGCACACTCACACTTACATACACACACCAGAGCAACAACAAGCTCTCATGGACATCACAGAGCAATTGAGAACACAACAAAAGCTTTCACTTAAACACACATATGCAAAGTTTTCAGGAAAATCATTTGAAAATATGCCCACCACTATGGTGCAAATTCAAGGGAAACTTTTACCGTTTTTGGTAAGCAATATGATGCATTATTTCTACAGGATCTGAATGATCAAATTGCATGTATGACATTGTTTTGGTCCACACTTAAATGTGCTGTTTCCGTTTCTCTCACCCCCTCTCAGCAGCACCTCTTTAATGTGGACTCTTCTTTCCCACACATCTCCTTGTCTAAAGCAGCAACAGACCAATGGAGAGATTTGGGACCTTTTGTCGCAGCGTGCGAGGCATTGGCAGATTGGGAGGCTACACCAGATCCACTTGTGATGCGCTCTCCGTCGACAGGCTTCTTTAAACAGCCATTCGCATTTTGCACACCTGCTCTCAGATCTGTTTATGTCATGGATGAAAATAACATATTTTCGGACACACACACTGATACATTTTTGACTAATGTCTCCTCTATTTCTCCTGCCCTCAGTTCTGTTCCAGACACCTTGTGGGTAGCGCATAAATATGACGTGGGACTCATCAAAAAATGTCAACCTGTGGTCATCACTCCTCGATCAGACTTCCGTCCCCACAAACATCAATACCCACTGCGCACACGCTTGTGTCAGGGCTACACAGAATCACCTACGATCTACAACGAGGCACTCAGGGAAAGACGAGAGCCTCACTTTGTCTCCAGGAACAGCTCTTTTGCAGTATTTTGATGACTGTTTAATTGCAGCTCCAACACAAAAGCAGTGTGAACAGGACACACTCAAATTGCTTCAACACTTAGCAGCAGAAGGACACAAGGCCAGCCTATCCAAACTACAGTTTGTTGCACAAAATGGTAGAAAATGGTAAAAACGTTCATTTCCTAGGCCATAACATTTCCGGTGAAGGGAAGACACTATCACCAAAACGCATTGCCTCAATTGTAACACTTCCAAAACCACAAACCAAGAAACAGATGATGTCATTTTTGGGCATGTGTTCCTACTGTAGGTCATTTATTCCAAATTACTCCCAACTCAAGCAACATCTGTCCGCATTGATACATGGAAAAAATCTCAGCGCGCATGATAAAATTCAGTGGCTCCCTGCAGCCTCTCAAGCTTTCACGGACATGAAATGCGCGTTACAAGTTCCTCCGACTTTGGGTCTTCCTGATCCTCACAAACCGTTGATGAACGTTCTGGATGTATGACATCAGTGCTCCTACAATCCCATGGCGATAAACAACGACCAGTAGCTTATTTCTCCGCAAAACTCGATCCGGTAGCAGCAGGCTTACCACAGTGCCTTCGAGCTGTGGCAGCTGCTGAAAAGGCTCTTACAGCCTCTCGTGACATTGTAGGCTATGCTACGCTAACATTATTGGTTCCACATTCGGTTTCACTGATTCTTCTCGAACAGAAGTCGTCTCATTTATCTGCAGCGCGTTACCTTTGATATCGCACATGTCTCCTAGACATGCCGAATGTTACAGTAAAACGCTGCAATGTCCTCAATCCTGCATCTCTTCTCCCCACTCCGGAGGATGGAGAGGAGCATAATTGTTTGGCTGAGCTGGAAGCTCAGTGCACACCTCGACCAGACCTCGCAGACACACCTCTGCTCAACAGTGACATGGTAATGTATGTTGACGGATCTGCTTCACGGGATCCCCTGACTGGTTCTAATCTGGTGGGTTTCTCTGTTGTTTCAGACTCAGCTGTTCTGTGTTCCGGCCCTCTTCCATGTCACCTCTCAGCCCAAGCAGCAGAATTAATCGCGCTAACAGAAGCTTGTAAACTAGCTAAGGATAAAACGACAACCATTCACACTGATTCCAGATACGCTTTTGGCGTGGTTCATGATTTCGGCGCGCTGTGGAGACACAGACATTTTCTCAAATCAGATGGCAAACCAGTGTTACACCACACTCTGATAGCAGAACTATTGGATGCCATTTTGTTGCCCACAGCTGTTGCTGTTTGCAAATGTGCAGCGCACACATCCGGCACAGGCGACATCGCAAAGGGGAATGAGCGAGCAGACTTAGCTGCAAAAGCGGCTGCTATACGTCCTCTTCCCAAACCATCACGCCCGGTTCCTGCCATGTGTTCTCTTCCCTCCTCTCTTGCAGCCGTGCAGTCCCTCTCTACTTCAGATGAGAGACGTTTTTGGTCCTCCTCAGGCTCCAAATTCATAGACGGCATCTGGTATG